CACGGCGGTGTACGTTGTCGCTTGCCGGCGGGGGGGGCTGAAACTCGACCAACAACCAATCACATGAATCTCCCGCCCCAGACACACAAGCACGCCGTTTGATTGGCTAGAGCTTGCACTGGCATATGATTCGATTGGCTGACGCCTCGGCAAAAGTAGAACATTGCTCTACTTTTGCAGCGAGCACCGCGAGAGAAGCTACGCTTTGCTCCCACAATGCAGTTCGGCGAATCGTGACGTCACCCCATTCAAAGTGAATGGGCAGAAGCGTTGAAGCGGCAACGCACGCCGCCGTGTGTAGGGGCCGTTACTCTCCTCCCCAGAATCTGCCAAATCCTCCTGCCCTCATAGCTCTTTGTTGGACTGCCGAACGGTGTCTTAATATTTATGATGGATGTATTTGTCATGGCAACATAAACATTTTGTATTTTTTTTTTTCTATGGCTACTTTTGGGACTGTAGATGTGAATTGTGTTTATTTATTAATTAGCAATTGCTTTGAATTGTCTCAAAGTGGTGAAAACGTTTCTTAAAGTTCGCTAACAATTAGAAAAAAATGGCTGACTTGAAGGATCCTCTGTGTAACGTGTGTGATCTAGTGTGTTGATCAGTGAAATTCTGTAGTTACTCTGTTGTGTTTGGCTTCATAAGAATATCAAAGCACAAACTTGGCAATAGTCTTTGGTGTGTGTTTTTTTCTTGGACTGCTGCAGTATACAGACATCGCAGGAAAGGTGTTCAATGAAAATAATGCAGTACAGTCACGTACATTTGACTCTCTCTGGTACGCATGTGTACATGAACGTGTTCCACCTTGCTTCTTTTTCACAGCATGTTCTCACCATAAAAAATCTGAAATCTCCGTGCCGTGTGCCAACTTCTTCCATATCCACCACGCACGTACAGACACACTGACGCACATCGAGGGGAGCTGTCAGAGCGGGATTCAGCACTCCTACATCACAGGGAGAGAGCATCAGTATTTCCACCATTAGGGCATTGATCACAGGCTCTTGCTTCTAAATTGATCGTTTAAAGTTCAATTGGCCATGACTCTGGCATAGCAGAAAATAGAAGAAACCAATTGGCTCCCTACTCTTCATAATCTCACAAACATACAGCACTGCGCTCCATTTGCAACCCGCGAGAAAAAACAATCCCTTTCAACACATTTATGCAGAAAGAAAATGTTAGGTGCTGGAATGATTTATATTAATATTGTGTTTCTGGAAAATTGCGTCGGTAATAAGCACTTCCCCAACGCTCCGTGCAGACGTTTTTTGTTCGTGAGATGGAAAATAAGGATGAGGAGGAGATCAGTCAGGAGGCAGGGGAGGAAATGACTATGTCCACAGACAAAAATAGCCACTCCATCCCCAGCCGCAGTCTCCATTCTACTCGCACAGCATGTAGAAAGATTAGAATTATATAAGCCTGTGATAATGAGGTTGCATGTGTACTGAAGCGCACATAAACGTGAAAAACACCTTAAAATGTTACATTAATGCCATTTGATATAAAAAGTTTGATATTTGCACAGCTTGCTAATTGTTTTGTGATATGAACCATAAAGCAGGATTTGACATATGGCTTCCAAGATACAGACACATAGCTTCTTTATCTACGGATGTCTCTCTGTTGACAGGGGGAATTTGTTCCGGGAGGCTTGAGTTAGATGATCACAAACAGATTTGAGTCCTGGTAGTAAAACATTTTAGACACCAACCTTGTGGTCTGCAGTGTTCTCTGTCCAGCAGCATAGAGCAGAACATGTTTAGCTAACGGGGAAGGTGAATGCTTCTGCAAGGAGAATTCAGCTTAGTGCTCACAACCTCCGAGTCTTTCACAGATAGCTGCAGGAAGCGTTGTCGGGCTGTAAAATCATTTAACACACCGTTAGGGAGACAAACAGCAAAGCATGTGTATTGTTAGTATCTCCATCAAAAGTGTTGGGCACTGAGGCAACAAAAGAAATCATTCAATCAATCATTAACACGGAAGAATTGACCTCTCAAGAAACAAGTTAAATGATCTTTTGTGTCAATGAAAAACGTTTTGATAAGTTTATCTAAACAACAAATACATATAGACAATATAATAATCTATTATCTTACACATTTGACTTTTATGATTTTTGAACCAGGCAAAAATAATGTCAAGCTAACGCTAGACTAAAAAGAGCTAGCTACAAAACTACCTGTCTCCACCATTCAACAAAAAATAGAATAGTGTTTTACATGCAACTTATTGTTTTTAAAACATACAACAGCTTTATCTTTATGGTTAAGAAACATAGGTTTAATGTAAAAACAAAGAAAGACAATTCTGTATCAACAAAAAATAAACAAGGATAAAGTGACTAGAAATAGCAATAGCAAGTTAGCAAAATAGCATGTGTATACATTCCTTTTACAGGGGAAATTCAGCGTACTTTACATAATTAAAAACAAAAAGGACCATCTATAAATGATTATCGTGATTACAGCTGACAAAGGAAACCACAGCCCAGGAATGCTAACTCACTTCCTGGTTGTATGACTAAACATTCTATCAATAGGAACAAACTAATCTATGGCATCATTTCTCAGGTCAATTATACTGACGTGTGGAAACACTTTACATGCACTTCTAAGAACTTTAATTTTAAAATAGTTTTATTTACATTTCAGGCAAGATGAGAGTAACATCTATGTCACTTCCGGGTGAAAATTACGGCCCCGCCCACTTTTGGGGGAAAACAACGCGTCATTTGAATGGCGGTCAATACAGATTCTGAAGTTTTTGCCAATCCGATCAGAATTTTTTGAAAACCGTGAATTTTTGGATCTTCAAAGAGCCCGATTACGATGGCCAGTCAGGCAAACAATTACATTCAATCATTTATTAATCGACAATCGGGCCCGATATATGGTTACATTAAAATCAGTAGGCGAAGCTGTCATTTCGCCAGCTGTTACTCTCATGAGCGAGGCGGAAAATAATAGTTTTATCATGCCAACAAGCTGCTGTGTCGTTTATTGCACCTCAAACATTGTCAGCGTGACCTGGTGTGGCGTTTCCTGAAGTTCGGCTGCCGGTTCATCGTGCAGTGCTTGACGAGTACGTACACTCACCGTATTGAGAGGAATGTCGTCCGCCGCCATCACACATAAGCAGTAAGTTTTCTCCGTTGTTTGGCCTTCTGTCTCTTCTTGTCTGAGCACTATATTGTGAGTATTTATCGCACACGCAAAGGGTAAAAGTGAGAGCAGGGTAGCCTTTGTACAGAACGTGCCATGCCCGATTAGTTCGGTAACTCACAACGACGCCTCTGTAAAAGCACGAAGAATTATCGCAAAACAATGCAAGGAGTGGAGCAAAGCGAAAGAGTACGTGACTAAGCGATCGACTTTTCCCGGTTAGTCTCACTAAATAAACCGAGGCTGGTTGCGATACCCCGGCTGAAGGTTTGTACAAACTTAGCCGGTACGCGAGCCGGCGCTTTCCTGGTTTATTCCCGCACAGTGCCTGCTGCCAAGCCGCTATGTGGTTTTAACTCACAACCCGCCTGTCCCGTGCGAAGCAGCAGGCTGGAATTGTGGCTGCGGCTATTAGCCGGACCACACAGGCCCGGAATTGTAGATGCAGTGAAATGCGGGACCGGTGAAACCCCCCCTTTTGTGTGCGACAGTAACTTACCTCTAGCTACGAAGCTTCGGTGTCTCGAGAAGAAAATGACAGGAAACAAGAATCTCCTATCATTCTTGTTGCATGAGACCTAA